CACCGAGGTCTTTATTTCCACACAGATAAGTCTTCTGAGTTTCAGACTGATATGTCCAACTGTTCATGTCCATTTGAATTTCCCACAAACACCTACAATTCAACATACGTCTTCTCACTCCCCATCCTTCAAACACATTCTCCCTTTGTGGTTAATGTAAATGTTGCCCAAGACAGGGACCTAAAGGTCAGCCATGATTCCTTTTTCCCTTCCAATATAAGTCTTATTATTCCTAGGTCCTTCATATCTTTAAAATTTGTCCCTTTTTCTCTGTTTATAAGTGACAACCTTGATTAAGCTCCTCGCTATTTCTCACTTGGCTGCTGTATGATTGATCTCTTTTGATCCACTCCATACCATTGGTCATAGCCCCTTTTCTAAAGTGTAAATCTGGTCACATAATTGTCCTTCTTATACTTCTTCAGTATAGTTTTTAAGACCTTCACATAGTTTTAAAGACCAAATCCAATATTTTCAACATGTCGTAAAAGACCCTTCATTATCTGGTCCCATTTCACCTCTCCAATTTAGTTTTTTGCCACTCCACCCTACTTCTTCCTATGTATTTAGTTCCCCAAACACAGAAGTGCTTTAACACTTGCTTGTAATTTAACCTGGAATGACCCTCTCCCCTTGTCTTGGATACTTCTAATCTTCCTTCATAGAAGATGTCAATTCTTCTAAGATATCTTCCCTAGGAACCTAAACTGGATTAGATAATATCTCCCTTTTTATAGTACTTCTTAATTTATATATTGATAATTTTTCCATTTATTTATCCCCTTTATTACACTAGATGTATTTTGAAGGCCAGATGTATCTTATTAATAATTGTTTTTATGGACTTAGCACGTGCCTGGCACAAATTGACACTCAATAGATGTTAAATTTAATAAGTCCCTACACTCAAGGAGCTTACAAGCTATTAGATGAGAAAAAACAAGTTAACAAAAAGTGCAATAAAGTATTATAGATGCTTGAATGAAACCTCTCCAAAATATAATTCAGATTTTAAAAGTAAGTGGGGTGATAATTTTTTTCCTAGAGGGATTTGG